TGCTCTCTCTGCGGTTTCAGCGAAAGTCGTTCAGCTCCCCGCGGCCTCTGCTCCAGATCAGGTCTCAGCAGCACTTCTGAAGTTTGGCACCCCGGGCTCTGGACGGCTGAGAACTGTGCAGCTCACTGCGCCCTGGCTTCTCGTCAACAGTCTGCCTCTCCGTTGTCCACCTTTTCTTGCACTTCTCCATAAGCGGCAGGAGACCCCACGATGTACTTTCAATGCTTGGCGTGGAAATGTCCTCACTTAAATATTCAAATTTATCATGTATAAGTTCTGCTTTACGAGTAATTGCGGAGCACAATTTGCTAAATGCCCCGCCAGTCGCTCCAGGCTCGGGACAAGCGTCTCACTTCCTCTTGCCCTGGGGGACAGTCTTTCAGGCCCAGAGTCTACTCAGCAGGCCCCACGCAGCATCCTGCCCGGGTTTTCTCCTCGGCCTGGAGAGTGGCTCAGCGGCACAGAGCTTGCCTAGCATAGCATGCGCACGGCCTGGATGCAAACCTTACCACCCTTCCCCAAAAAGGAAGTCCTCTCCAACTTCTTCCCTCCCTTACCAACAGTAATTCCAGTTACTCACACGTCTTCAGGTGTTTGTTTTGGCAGCATCCCACTAATACCAGAATTTATTTTCCGTTTCGATCGCTAACAAATTACCATAAACTTAGCAGCTAAGGCAACACTCATTTAGCTCACATTTTCTGCAGGTCGGAAGTCCAGGATTCTCCCCCAGATCAAAAGCTCTAGCTGGGCTGGAGCCTGTTTGGACTGAAGAATATGTATGACTCCCCGCTCACTTAAGTAGCTGGCCAAATCCAGCTGCTTGCAGTGCATGACAAGGCCCGTTCTATCGCCCGCTGCCCTAGGGGTCGTTCTAGGTCTCTGAGTAACTCGGTTCTGTTGTGGAGACGCCCTCTCTGGGTGAGGAAGTTCTCCTTCGTGTCAGTCTCCCTCAGGTCTGAACCTCTCCAAGGGCTCTGTTACTAACCAGAGAAAATACCCTGCTTTGAAAGAGCTCAAGGATTAGTTTAGGCCACACAGATACTCTTCCTACTTTAAGATCTGCTAATTAATAATCTTAATTAAATCTAAAGAATTCCTTTTGCTATGCGATATAGTGAGCACAGGAGTGATAGCAGGAGAAGGTCTTGAGGGCATCTTAGAACTCTGCCTGCACTAACTTCTTTAGAAATGTAAAAAATATCTCCGACTTGAAGGCCTCCAAGAACAGGAACAGGCCAGATCTGGCTCACAAGTCAATGCACACAGGTCCCTCGCAGTGCTGGCTGAAATACAGTGAGTTGTGGACTGGAAATGTGTACTTGTTCCTGTGGGGTGGTGCCGGTCCAGGGGCCACTCCCTGAGATCCTGCAGTTTTCCGGAAACTTAGCAAGTGACACACAGTTCATCAATAAGTTTAGGACCTTCACTTGAAGACCACACACACCACGTCCCGGTGAAGTACCAACTTTCCTGAACAGCAGCAACTCATCAAGTGCAGCATGCAAAGCAAGGACTTAATCAAGATGCCTACCCTTGAGTCTAGGACAATGTGTAAGTGTCTCGCCCTCATCACAGCCACTGCCCAGGTTACGGGGCCGGGAATCGTTTGCTCACACAGGGAGGATTTTGTACGTATGTTCATGAAAGGATTTTAATAAATCCTGATAAATAAGCCTAATGATATTAGAAAATGTAATAAGCCAAAGAAATAAAACTGGGAGGAGGAAAGTGGGAAAGGCTATTCCAGGCAACTATCACTGAGAGTAATGCAGTACCAAAATACCCAAGTGAAAGCACACTGGGGTTATGCATTAAGAGAATAAAACTGAGTGTAAGAGAAAACTCCCCTAAAACTGTGGTAGGAAGGATGCCACGGAGAACCAACGAGAACTGACATCATCCCACTGCTGGGCACCAAGTAAGAAACTACTGAAGCAAGCCAATATTAAACCATCCAGCTATTTCAGAGTTCTTAGCTGAAAACACTGGCAGCTCCCTGACTTACAGTACAAGGGCAATTTATTAAAGAATGAGGGGAAATAGAGAACCAGGTTAATGACTACAAGTTGCAAGAATGAAGCCTGAAATCACCCTGCAGACTGGTCCTGGCCAGAGAGCTGTGCTGTGTTTCCACAGGGCTCTTGGGTCAGGGACTTTTCTCACTGCAACTGCTAGTGGCTCAGCACCAAAACCACGTCTGCGTGGAAAAGCTGTTTCAGAATTCCCACAGCATCCGGCCTCCAGGAGCTTCGCAGTGTGAGGGCAGTGTCTGCTCTTCTGTGGGGTTCACACTGAGGCTCCCTAAAGGACGGAGGGGTACAGTCCAGTCACAGAGCTCTGCCGACCAGTGAGACAGGGGGCAAACCACACACACCATTAGTGGGTGCAGAGCGCTAGCTAGGACTCCCAGTCATTAGAAAGCAGTCGGAAACATACGAACGAATGAGAAGACAACATGTCTACCACAAAATGTGATGTATTAAGCATAAAAGTATATTTAAAATTCACCCATTTCACAATATATATTGTCAGTAAGATCAGAGAGTATCAGAGATGAACAGAACCTTTGAGATAATTTGGTGTCATCTTATTTTACTGGGAACTCAGTGCCCCAAAACGCTGAGATCATTCACCAAGTCTACACAGCTAGATGCTAGGGTCATCTCAGCCTTTTCAGCCTCTGGGATATCTCCAAGCATGTAGTGACCAGAGAGGCATTCCTCCAACCATATCATCATCTTGGTTAAATTTTAATTTTACCCTCAGAAAAACTCATTGTTTAGTCTTCAGAAAACCATTTTGGTGACACTGGTCTTTGTTTCTCTTAGTGCACTGATTTAAATTTTATGTGCAGAATTCTATTTTTCTATTATTGCCATGAAAATAAACTGTAAACTTGAAATGTTTTAAATAAAATTTAGACTTTTTTACTATATTAAAACTTTCTTTTGACAAAAGGCTAATCTGCAACACCAATAAATAATTATTCAAAAGCCACTAGAATGCTTAATTATGACTGTACCTCTTCTGTATGAACGCACCTCTTATATGCATGTTATATCTCAGAAAACTAGAGGCAAATTCACCCATGGAAACTGTAACTACAAAATTTATCCATGCACTTCATATTAAAATTACGTAGAGAAGATGACTAGAGTATATACAACAAATCTAAACATTCTATTGATATTACATCTTCCGAGCAGACAATTCACAGAATTATGGCATTTCACCTCTGTGATATACAGAGCTATAAAACAAGCAAGGAGGTTTTAAGAAGGTAGAGAAAGAAGAAAGAGAAAAGAACAAACATAACTACTAAATCTGAAGTGGATTTTCACAAAGAAGATGTTTTCTGAGAGCAGAAGACAGATAGTTTTATTCGGACTCAAACATTCTGTCTTGGAAGCTATTTATCTAGCACTTGGTCCTTATGGCAAGCACTCCCTAGAAATTCACTGTGCCAGACACCAAAACAGTGGCTACAGGATCAGTGACCACCAGCCAACACACAAAACTACATAGTTAAGCCACAGACAAAACCATATTATTTTTGATGTCTTCATTTTCTCTGGACAAAGAGCACAATTTATATGAAAGTGGGAATACATAATTTAAAATAAATAAAGCCACACAAAATACGTATGTCTTGGTGATATAGCCTTTCTCTTCTAATTTAAATCATTTATTTCTATACAATGGTCTATTTTCTGCAGAAAAATTAGTGATCACTCAGGCCAAAGAATAAAACAATTTAAAAATTATACTAAATAAATGCAGAATAAAAAAATTAATAAAATTACTTCAAAATAAAAAGCCAAAAAGAGGAAAATAAATAAATAAATGCAGAAGTCAGTTTCATGGAAACCTGTGCTTTTTCCACCTGTATTTCTTTTCTCTCTGATAAACAGCTAATATAACCCCCAAATAATAATTCTAAAAATTTAAAATAACAAGTTATCTACTACACCAACAAGGATCAAATCTTACCCGAACCCCTTCTGAGCACACGGCATCCACCATGCCCTTCGCATCTCCAGACGCTGAAGCCATCCAGCTAAACGGCCAGTTCCGCTGCACCTGAAGGGCCCACGGATCCGCTGACCAGGTGAGCACAAGGACACCGTAACCGTGGGCTTCTGCTCACACGTTTAAAAGCTCACAACAGCCCTCAAATATCACAGTATTGTTTTAAAATTTAAATATGTTCTAAAGTTTGTCTGTTTTCATTATAAAAATATTTTTGCTATAGCAGGAATAAACATAAATCATAACTTACATTTGCACTGCATCATGAATTTCCTCATGTTCTAAACAACTATGTGTCATAATGTATCTCTCTGATCTAAATAAACAGTGTGGACATTTCTCTCCAGTTATGTGCAATACCTTATGGGAATCCAGTTAAAAATATGAAGGGGGCAGGAGAGACTGATTTGTAAGTAATGATGATCTCGGGGAAACAGAGTGAACTAGAGTTCTCTCAGAAATACTTCAAAATCTTTGCTTGAAAAAGGTGGAGAGCATAATGAGGTCAGATCATCTTTAGCTTTTGAAATGATTTCACATCAGTTCTGGAAAGTTAACCCATCAGGATCGAGGAAGCAGTCTGCACCCAGAAGAGCCAACATTTTCTGCGAGGCTGCACATTAAGACCAGGAGGCCAGAAAGCTCGATACATATTGCCTAGTTTTAACCTGGAAAGGAAACTGTAAGTTCTGTAAGGACTTCAGGTGATCCCATAGCCAAACATTTGAAATATGTTCAACAAGGAAGAGACACGTGGACCTGGGGTAGAACTCTGTGAAGGGTAAAATACCTATGAAAAATAATTTAACTGTATTTTTATAAAAAAGAAAAAAAACTACCTACCTATGCAAGGTTTATAAATTTCTGACCAAGAAAGTTGTAAGGCTGATTATAGATTTTTAAATCGGGCCTATTATAGATCACAAACATAAACTGTATCCAGGTCATCTGAAGAGACAGATACTCACAGAATGATTGTAAGAAGGTTCCAGTATCACAGGTAATGACATTTTCCCTTGAAGATTCAATTTTGTTAAGTAAAAAATCTTTTCCCCCACAATCTTTTCTTTTTTCATGCGATGTAAACCATACAGTCTAAAACGAACTGCATAATTCCCAATCATCTCAGATTCGACGTGGTTAAATTTGAATGTTTCTGTGAAGACAGGGCACGGTCCTCTCTGGATGCTGGTTTTTGCTCTCTGTTTCTTTATAGGCAGAAGAACAAGGTGTACTTGCCACGAGTTGCCACCTGCCCTGTTATATGCTGGGATGTCTGTGACAGCTGTCACTGTCACCAAAAGCTTCTGTTCTTGCGAGTCATAGTCAAAAGTCACATCTAGGGTGCCGTATTTAGCTTCTGGCTCGGGGTCAAAAGGTTTAGGAAGCTGTGAAGATGATCCTTGAGCTGACATCTCCTAAGAAAAGCAAGTTTAAATGTTTTCAGTTTTTAACTCTATTGTTTAATCTAGCATGTAAATAAGTGCCTTTATGAGGTAATGTGAAAACAATCTTTATTTGCTATCATAAAGAAAGTATAATAAATCGCAGTCAACTACAATCAAAAGCCACCCTATAGGGCCAGAGCATCTAAGTGGTAATTTAAACTAAAACCTATCATAAAGATACGTTCTAAATGTAGTATACACTATTACAATTTAGAGAAAGCTGATGTATTTATAAATGAGAGCTTAAAATATATACTTTAATGTGTAACTCTGTTCCTTTAGCAGGAGACTACTAAATTTTACTTTCTTAACATGATAATCATGAAACTGGCAGCTCAGTACTAGGCCACAGAGAAAGAGAGCATAAATAATAATTATAACACTATTGAAAATTTTGGTTCCATTTTCAGGATTTGTTCCAAAATGCCCCTATCTATAAACAGAATATTAACATATTTAGAATTAAATATCAATGGAAATGTGGTATGTGTTAGTATAAAAGGGCCTTGAAGTATTCATTGCAGTCAGAAATTTATTCTCCATGTCACAAACCACATTTATTCAATTTTTAACCAGAATTAAACACAATCTCTCACTTCCCAATATGAATTACTGTTGAAATGGAAGACATTTCAAAGGTGCAAGACTACGAGTGTACATACGAATTATGACACTAAAAGAAACTGTGCCCTTTTGACCTGTAGCTGTCTCAAATTACGGCCAGTGTAGGGGGTCACAATGGGGTTCACCTAGTTGCTGACAATGTCCAGGCCAGGTTTCCGACCTTTCAACCACATCACTATGCCCCTTCAAGTATTTTAATGAAAATTAACTTTTTTAAAATTTGAAAATATAGACCCATTTTATAATTTCTTTGTTGTAGCTTATAACTAGATGTTCCTCCAAAGCCTCACGCAGTCATAGGCGGGGCTTTTCGGGGATGGTTGGATCTCGAGGTGTGATACTGGGATCAAGAAAGTGAAGCTGGGATTGATTCATGGTCCACAGCTAGGACTAAGGCTGCCACCCTGGGTGTGAGTGCCCCTTGCCTTAAGGGCACAAAGCCTGGATAGTAGATAAAGCATAGAAAGAGGCCTGCTGCCGCCGTCACTGCTCTTCACTACTTTGCTGCTTTCTGCCTGCCGTGGACTGTTTCTCCTCTGCAATGCCCCTGTGTCATACCCCACTGCCTTGGAGTCAGCCAAATGTGGACTGTAACCTCTACAAACTGTGAGCCAAATAAGCTTTTCCTCCGTTAACTTTGGGTGTCCGGTACTTTGTCCCAAGAATGAGAATTAAGACATTCCTATAATTGTACTTAGTGTCTGTGTGGCGGAGAATATTGCTGACCTGCAGTTTTCTTCTTCCATTTATTCAAAGAACTCCCTGAGTTTGGCCCGTAGACACAGGTCTACAGAGACCATCAAACCTCAGCACCTCCCTTGTGTGCCTAGGCCTCAGCTTTGGTCCTAAGCATTGCACCTACCATGTGCCAATCTCTGTTTGAGGTGTGAGTGGGGAGGGATTCTTCTTTTTACAGAAGAAAACCAAAAAGACACGAGTTGTTAAACTTACAACTCTTACACAGAAATCGGCATTGTGTAGGGAAGAAAGATGACTAATGAAGAATAGTGTTGGGAGAAGGAACAAATTTTCATAGAAGAATTGAGTTTTTTATGTGTATGAGTAAAGAGGATAAACATTCTTAAAAATAAGTTACAGCAACTGTCTTCATGTATACTATTTCATAATTGTAATTAAAGATTATTAAGATCTATCTCTGATACTTAAATATTTTTAAAAATAGTATCATGATATCAATGATTTTTGGGGCAATAAACATTTTTATAAGGTCCTGGATAGCTATTTATAAACTTAATTTCTCTGGTGCCTCCCTAATGTATATGTTTTTCGGAATTCCAACAATTCTTATAAAACCCAGGTTACAGGGTGAAAAGTGTACAGATAAAAGCTGCTCTCTGAATTATTCAAGAAGACAGTAAGAAAATTTGTGTACTTTCCAAGTGCTTGGATCGAAGTTTGAAAACCACTCCAGATAACCACAAGTCCTCAAAGGAGCGCATGGCCCCCCTGTCAGACAGTTCTCCTGAGCCCACTCTCTCCCCCTGCTCAGCGGTGAGGCAGGCAGGTCTAAGACCCAGAGCCTGGATTAGCCGAGAGGAAAGGGAGACTTTTCTACCTGATACGAAATACCTACCACAGAGAGGCAAAGGAATCTTGAAAAACTACAAGAGTAAATGTACACTCGCACTGCCTATTGGCCTTTCCCATCTAAGCATTCATGTAACATGTACTTTGCTCTCTTGTTTGAATGTGTTCTGCGATGCTACTGGACACAAATACAAGTCAAGAGAAGAAAACGCAAAAAAAAAAGTGAGAACACAAGTGACGTCAGCAGCTCCTGCAATTCAGGCAAACTACAGTAAGCCAAATGTGAGGCAAGGAAGACTCCCAGAACGGATGTTCCAACAGAGAGGGATGGGAAACCTACGCAGGACCGTGCTGCTCTGTGCGGACAGCTCTGCTTTCCTCAAGAAACATAGATGAGAACCGGCACCTGTCCAGGAGGCCCTCCGGCAGTTTTCAGCGTGGCCGGGCGTACTTACTCCAAAATCTCTTCCCCGAAACGAGTGTAGGCTGCTGGCTCTTCGGTGCCTTGTTCAAGTCCCAGTTCCGGCCCTTGCTGTCCCACGAAAGGTGGGAGTGCTGGGAAGAGACCGGGTGGATGGGCACAGCAGTGGTCCTGCTGCCTACCCTACAGACGCCCAGCTGTGTCGGCCTGCCTTGTCTTGCTACTCTTACTTCTTGCTCTGGACCCAAAATGGGTTAAAATAAAATACACGCGTGTAACTCTGCGTATCATCTGTGAGACTAAATGTGGTCTGTGCATCTTCTGGGGCTCGGGCAGCAGCAGCACCGGTGATCCCCGCACAGCCACTGTGAGAGAAATGAGCGACACAGGCTACCCGCTAACAGCACCGTTTCCATCCTCACACGGACCTGCATCTGCACTGCGGTTCCGCTATTTAAGGGCTGCTGCTGCCTGGGCAAACTGCTCCACTCTCGGAGTCCCAGTGTTTTCAGAAAGCAGAAATAACAACTTCCTGAGCCGCCACTGGGAGGATCATGTGAGCTGACTAAGCCAACAGCAAATTCCCAGCACAGCTGGTGATATTTATTACTGTTAATTCTACAATCCAGGCTTCCCTGTTAACTGCTGGCTAGCTACATAGTGAGCAAAACCCCACAGAACACCTGCTTTGAATTTGTTTGGGTGCTCGAACACAAACCTCCTGGGAAAGTCACGAAACACTGATAAATTAAAGTATTGAGGTAACACTTTTTTCTTTCACTAGATATACTAGCATATAATGCTAAGAAAGTAGTGACAAAGTATTTTTTCATTATAGAAGAAAAACCTCAAAATTAAGAAAATTCTATGCACAACTTAATTGCTTTGTGGATTAGAAAAGGACAGATCAGAAAGTTCACCAGGGAGGAACACAGATGTACCACAGTATGACTGAATATTGCCAGGAATAAAAGTCCAAAAACTCTCAATTCCAAACTTCTCAGGAAAGTGAATGCTAAAAATAACTGCTGCCCTATGAAGCCCTCCGGATCACCTTCATAGTTTTTTATCATTACAGTAAGACTAAAACAAATCTGTTTTAGAAAATGGCAATACTTTGAATCTGCAATGATTATTTTTGTTGTCCTGTTACATTTTTTTGCTCAAAAAGTAACTTAAACTCAATCAACCAACCAACCATCCACTCTGAAGGCACGAATGCCATGAATTCAAATCTCATCAGAGAAGCTAAATCATCACCGATCCCTTTCATATTCCATAAAGTGAAGATACGTAAGGTTGTTATTATTATTATTATTTTTGGGGGGGTACTGGGGATTGAACTCGGGTCCTTGACGCTTGCGAAGCAGGCCACCGAACCACTGAGCTAAATCCCGGGCCCCACAGTAAGGTTATTTTGAAAGACTTGTGAAACACTGTAACAGTCTAGTAGTCATGTCCATCGACAGACAAACAGATATAGAAATGCGGTATTCATAAGAAGGGAATACTACTCTGCTGTAAAGAAGGATGGATTTGAACCATTGGTAGGAAAATGCATGCACCTTGAAAAGAATATTAAGTGAAATAAATCAGACACACAAGGGCAAATACCATATGATTTCTCTTATGTGGTAAATCCAAAGTGTGAGTAAAGAGCAAAATAAAAGATAAAAGCAAACGGAGACAGAGCTACTGTGTGAGTAGGAGGGAGAGGTAACAGGTGGTAGGAGAGCTGGGGAAGGGCCGTGAAGAAAGAATTCAGGTGTGTCATGCACATACCAAATGCCTACAGGAAACAGTATGCGTCATTAACATTCACTAAGAAAGACTTAACTGAAAATCATAAAAAATAACTCCCAAAAGGTGAATACTTCTCGCATGCTTTACATAAAGCCTTTAAAGACAACCCAGCATCTCCTCGGCTACTGACTGCCCTGGGACTAGATTGGGTGCTGAGGACCAGGCGGGACAGGGCTGCGGAGGGCACAAGCTGGTGGGAGGAGCTAAAGGGGCGGGACGGGGTGGGACCCTCTGCTCAGCCCCAGTGGCGCGGACTGGGGCGACCGCGCTGGGAAACTGCTACTTACCTCGGGGCTCAGGACAGCAGTGCTGTCGCTCGGGACATCTTCAAATCCCTTATTCTGGAAACTTTCTGCTTCACGACCTGTGCTTCCTTCACTCGGGCACTTGTTGTAGGAGCATCTCGGGCTGTTGCTGCAGTGGGAAAATTCGCACTTGCTGTCCCCCACCTCGGAGGGCGTACAGGAGAGGTGGGGGGACCCACTGTCATCCTGGTAGGGCGGCGGCTGCAGCTCATCCAGGGGCGGCGTTCTCCTCATTCTCTGAATGCAGCTTCCTGACAAGGACGGAGAAACTGTCACTGTTTCCAGTCAGCCTGAGAACGCAGCCGTCTACAGTAACTGCGGATCACCTAAAAGCGATTTAAAAACTGGCCACATAATGCTTAGGATTTCTAAGTAAGTCTTCTCAGGCGCAGAAATAAAACAATCAGGCTCCCCGCTCGTCTCCTTCTGCCTGATAACATCAGGAAGAGCAGCCAGTCACACAGGAAGAGACCCTGTTGCACACCAGGAAGCTGAGTGTTAAAACAGCTTATTTGGTTCTCTCCGCCCTAACAAGCAGCACGCCCTGCATCGAGTAGTTCTTTGCCTTTCTAGCCAAAGCAACAAAAACCTGGTAGGCAAAGCAAACATGAAACCTCATCAATTTTCTTCTCTTACTGAGACGAACGTAAGCCAGCGTTTTGCTGAGCAGTGACAAAATCGCTTTTCCACATCTCCTAGGTCCAGCACCCCACGGTCAGCTCAGTCCCATCCTCTGACCTCCAGTAGCCACCAGGATGCCAAACCTTGCCTTCCTCCCTTCCCTGTCCTTGTCCCGTAGCCGGGTCCACCCTGTCCACCACAGGCAGCATCTCCCTGGCTAGCAGGAACAGGGAGCCACAGTTTACTCCACTCTTCAATGATATTTTCAGTGTTACCGCATTGATTTACAAAGATGGAGAGTCAATGTATCTGTGAGCGGGCAGGGAGATGAAGACAGAGCTCAGGAGACTGTTATTATACACCCAGTCTGGGTAGAGAAATCGTGAATATGGCATCAAATACGTAAGTGTCCTTCATCACAAGGAAGTCTGTGTTACAGCTGTCATGAAGTTCAGTGCAAATACTCAATACAGTCTCTCTGTTAACCCTAACAATGGACAGACATTACACAAAACCGTAAGCTTTATTTAAAAATTACTACACTGTGTGGGTCAAATAAAAAATACTGATTGGTGTTAACTTGGCACACATACACATTTGCTCAGAAGATCTAATTTCAAATTTAAAAAACTAAGGCTCTTGCTCCTACATTTAGTACAAACTTTAAAACAGGATTACTGAATTAATATGCTTGAAGCTAAATCAGAGAAAATACACACACTGCAGGCAGCAGCCAAGAAAAACTCACTTCCAAAACTAGAGACCAGGGGCTTTCGGGGACGGTGAGGGGTGGGCAGCCCTCCTGTGGGGGCCCAGCAGGCAGGTGTCCAGCGAGATTCAAGCAGACGTCAGAGCAGGCTCCCAAGACAGCTTTAGTTTTCTTGCTAAAAGCTGGCAGGCTCAGTCTACACCCCTTGGCCCCTTCCATCTCCCCTCGGTTTGAGGGCCACGGTCACCCTGTGACCATGAAGTGACAAGCACGGGAGAAAAGCTGAGGGTAGGGCAGCAACACGAAACGCATGCGAGTGTGCAAGCCTGGAAACTGATGGCCACAGCAAACCCCGGTTCGTCAGTAACAGAACAAAGTGAGCTGACAGGTAGATTTCCACTGTTTTCAAGTAAGTTCCCCGCCAATACAGTCCTTAAGTCATTAAAGCAACATCCTCCACTCCTTAAACAATGCGTCGTTAATCGGATATCAAATGAAACAGTAATAGCTAAATACTGCAGCAAGAAGTTGACTCGAAATTTCCCAGTACAGTGGCTGGGAGCCGGCATACCCCTTCTTCTTTACCTTTGCTCCAAGAAGAGGGGGGTCCTTCCCAGCAGGCTCTGTACGCAGCCCGACACCTCTCACCGTGCAGAAGGGTGTCAAGGGTCTACTCTACCCTTCACGGCGGAGAAACGGGGTTAGCATGGTTGGCTTAGTTTGATCAGAAGGTAGAGATGGATTAGCATTACTGACCGTGTCCACCTGCATGGACGGTAACAGACGCCTGAGCCATGCAGCCTGGGAAGGAGACAGAGGACTGGGCCAGAGCGCACATGGTCCGGGCCCGGCACCTTCATCGTCCACTTTGGCAATCCGACCACAGTTTTGATTATGTTTTTATTTCTGTGACTCTTCCCTCCCTCAATAACTTCCTACTGAGACAATTCTTCTCCCGATTTCCTTTTGCTGTGACCAGGACCATATAATTTCTACCTAGTAATAATGCCATACCTTATTTCTTGATTTGCTTTTTAATACTAGCTTCCCCCTGGTTCTGGTTTTTCAATTCAAATTTAACTTTGCTCCAGAGACCAAGGCACGGATTGCACAAACTGTCTTTGATCTCTAAAAAGTCTCAATAGTCTCAACGAGTAGCTCTTACTACTATTTTCTAGATTTGAGAAAAACAATGTTAAAGTTGTGAATTGGAACATATATTTTATTTTAGCCACAGCATATGCTCAAAGTTTTGAAAATAATGCCACACTTTTATTTTTATTTTGTATTTTACTTGTTGACGTGAAGAACATACAAATGTGGAATTAAAATTTCATTAAAATAGTCATGAAAATCTTCCCCCTTGTAAGCTTTTATTCTGACAACAACTTCATGTTATTACATAATGTAATAACTAAGAATTGGTTTAAATTTAATTGATATTAGAAAATTTTAAGGCATTTGTTTTATAAAACAACAGAATTTATATTATTGCTAAATTACACATTAAGCATAACCATAAAAAGAAATTTCTAGTGTGACTACCAAATTCCAAAATGGTGACGCCTTCCCGTTCCTTTACTTCTTCTTTACTGCCTAATTTCATACCCTTATTTTTATGGGAATGTCACATCCATGAAAGGACCCAGTACAGGCCCATCTCAGGCATTTTAAGTTACCATCTGCTATGACACAGCACCCTCAGAACAAGGCGAAGTATTTTCTTTCTACCCTGACGAAGAGCTGTGCACCTGTGTGGGATATGACCGATGGCTCCTTACCTCATGCTTTAAAACAGTGGTGAGAACTACAGCTCTAAGAAATGGTGAACATTTAGCAAACACAGAATTCACTTTCTTAGCATCTGTGAGAATTTGTCAAAACTGATGATAAGCTGGGGAATAAATCAAGGCTCAACACATTTTGCAAAATTTAAGCTGGGAATTTAGCTCAGTGGTTACGCTGCCTGCCTCGCAAGCACAAGGTCCCAAGTTCGATCCCTGGTGCCAAACAAACAAAAGAAAAAAAAAAAGAACCAAAAAGGATGTTATCTGACCACTGCAGAATTAAACTAGAAACAAACAAAAAAATAAATAAATAGAAAATCCACAGAAAATTGAACAAAATAACGAGAAGTTAAAGTACACTCTATCTCATGGATCAAAGAATAACTGTCATCAGATATGTATTGAAGAAAGTGACTAAAATAATCCCACAAACACTGGTGTGATGTATGTAACGATACATTTAGAAGGAAATGTCCAGGTCTAGGTGCACTCACAGCAGGTGGTACAGAGGGAGGGTGTTGGAAAATGATGACCTAGGCATCCACTTCAAGAAAATTTTAAAAACCCAGCAAATTAAACCCAAAATAGGAGGGATGAAATAATGCAGAGCAGAAAAATAGATTTAAGAATGCATGCTGAAAAAGCATTAGCAAACCAAAATACAATAGACGAAGTGCTAAAACACACTAGTCAGGAAAAAAAGGAGAGATGGCGTAAGTTATTAATGTGGGGTTAGAAAGAAGAGGTCATGTCAAGTCCTGCTGACATTCCAGTGATGGTGTGTTCCCTGCCCTTCCCTCGGCCCTAACGCTACTGAGTGGGGCACAGGGAGGTGGGCGTCCACACCACGAGGCCGGGGGAGCCACAGCGGCCAGCATGGCAGAGCCCAGGGGTGTGGAAGGTGTGTGTGTGTGTGTGTGTGTGTGTGTGTGTGTGGCCCAGTGTGCTCTCTAGGAGATACGTGACACAGGTGTCAGTTTTCAAGTGGGGAACCAGGCAGGAGGCAGTGTCAGAACCCAAGGAGGGCGAAAGCCTTCACTTTAGGGAACAGGAGTGGGTGCCAGAGCCCACACAGGGAAAGAGCACAGTGCAGCCCTCCACAGAGACCAGGGCTGAGGCAGGGAGAGGCCCTGTGAGCAGCCAGCATCTTGACAGGAAAAGTGGGTTCCCTGTGGAGGGGCACCCTAGCCTAGGGTAAGAGAGAAGGGCTACAGCCTGAGAAGTACCGTCGTAGCCTAACACAGGGCGGTGGAGCTGGGTGACTGGTGTGGGCTGTGAGCCCTCCTAGGGCAGAGGAGCTGTCCACACAGGAAACCAGCCCGATGCAGCTCACGGAGCATGTCTGGTGTAGGGGGCCTGGAGCAGTGTTAGAGTCTAAGCTGGGTAAGACAACTGTGCAGGAAAAAGTGGAGCACAATACCATGCTGAATCTAAGCAGGAAGGAGATAAGAGTGAGGCAGGAGATTAGGGCACGGCAAACTGGCTGGGCAAGGGAGTGAGACCTAGTAATCACGGAGATCCAGGACACTTACACACAAGCTCTGTACTGGAACCATCAGAAAGTGCTATCTTCAATTCTTGGGAGAAATCAAGCAGGTTTTGAGTAAGATGGCCTAGATCTGATGGCCACCAGTAAATCACTGTGTTCTCTCTCACGATGGTTGCTCTTACTCTGCAGAGTGCTCTTCTTTCCCTACTTTAATTGGCCTGCCCTAGCTCTGCAAGGCGTGTTTCTCTGCCTACCTTTAATGATATAAAACCTTACTACCTTTTGCGCTTCTTTTGTCCAATGCTTTGTTTAGAAACTAAAAAGGCTCTCTAGAAGGAATCCCCAGAACCTGCTAACAGGAGCATATTTAGGGTGACAAGCTGCGGCCTGGATTCACTCAGCAGTGAAGAGGGGGTATCTAGCTGCACCCCATGGCCATGGGGGGAGGAGCAGGCAGCTGCCACAGCTGTGCTGCTTTCTGTGGCTTAACCTGAACCCACAGCCTCAGGAAGGCACAGCAGGACCAGCCACAAGGAGGGAAATGGTGTCTAAGGACACAGCGACACCTGTAGTCCAATGTCCGCCCTGGACAGCAGAGATGGAAGGTCTCAGGGCAGAATCCCTTGTGGCCTATTTGGTCTTCAG